CGCTTTTCGCGTTTTTCGAGTTTTGGCGTTTTTCGTGCGTTTTCGCGTTTTTCGTGTTTTTCGCATTTTCGCGTTTTTCGTGTTTTTCGCGTTTCCTCCGGTTACACCGAGACACGCAAAGCGTTTCCACAGCAGAAAACCGCTCCTGCTAGCATTTCGGGTGGAAAAAGTTACAACCAAGCAACAAAAGTTATAAAAAAAGAAAAAATACTAGTTGCAAATAACCTAGCTACCTCCTAAACAGCCTGAACTTCAAACATCATCAATAAGTTTAAATACCTTCAACTCTACATGAACTGCCCAACTCGAAATACCACTAAACCCTACATCCCTAAAACCCAAACACCCGAGCGCCTTTCATAGAGACCCATGTGGAACCAGCCAGTTCTTGAATCATCCTGGAAACCCTAACGCCCAAAACCCTATTGACCCTACACTCTAAAAACCCGACCGGCACTAACACATAACCAACCTAACCCATATAGAAATACTCAAAACCCTAAAACTTAAACATCCCCAAGGCCTGAAAATCCCAAACCCTAAAACCTGAACCCTAGAAAGCCTAAAACCACTAAATTCCGGAAACCCTAAACCCTAGAAACACCAAAAGACTTAAACCCTAAAACCTCTAAACCATAGAAACCTTAAACCCTAAGGCACCAGAAACCCTAAACCTTAAAAGACATGAAAAGCACCTCAACAACCCTAAGCCCTAGAAACCCTAAAAACACAATTAACCCTAAACCTTAAAGACCTTAAACCCTAAAACAACTAAAGCCCAAGAACACCCTAGCCACTCCCTTCTCCTCCTCAAACAAAAAATGAAACACCAAAAAGTTGCCAACACCTCAAACTCAAAAAACCTAAGCACCGAGAAAACCTAAACCCTAAAGTCTATAAAGCCTGGAAGCCCTAAACACTAAGAACACGAAAACCCTAAACACTAACTACCTTTGAAGAACCCTAGAAGCCTTAAACAGTAAAACGCTAATCCCTAGTAGCCCTGAGCCCCAAAACACCAAAAGTCTAAAACCCCAAACCCTAGAAACTCTAAACCAGAAAGACCCTGAATCCTAGAAACCCTAAACCATCAAAACCCTAGACGCCCTCAACCTGAAAAACTCTAAACCCTAAAAACCAGTAAAACATCCGAAACAAAAAAGAGAGAAAAGTCAAAATCACAGAAACCACAAACCGTAAAAACTGTAGACCCTATACCCTAAAGGCCCTAAACCCTAAATCCTAAAAACCCTAAGCCCTGAACATCAACACCGTACACCGTAGAAACATTCCAAAGAAATTGAAGACCTGAACACTAGAAACACCCAACACCTTCAACCCTAAAGCCCCCAAACCCTGAAAACCATGAACCCAAAAACCCTCAACCCTAGAAACCCTAAGCCCTTGAAACCTTAAACATTAAAGACCCTAAAAACCCAAAACTCTAAAAGCCCTAAACCAGAAACCCTAGACACCCTACAAACCCTAAACCCTAAAATCCTAATCCTAGCAACCCTAGACCCTAAACTCTCAAACAGTAAAAAGCCATAAACCCTAAAAAACCCAGAAACCCTAAACCTTCAAAACCCTTCACCTGAACCCTAAATCCCTCAACCCTAGAAGCCCTAATTCCAAGACCCAGAAGATTTGAGCCTGCACACTGCAGCAGAAGCTGCTGCAAGCTGTAGTATCTGACCCAAGTCCTTCCAAAGCTGCATTGAACATTACTTGCAGCCTCTACAGGGCCCGAGATGCAGCAGTATGTGGTATGTACAGGCACAATCATTCATGTTTTATGCCTACTATAGGTTTCGATAATTAGATTAGATTTTTAATTTGTGCCTATCTAATGATCATTGTTTTAATTTTAAGCCACAGCATGTGCATCTGGAGCCTGCGCCATACCTCAGAAGCTGCAAGGTGTAGCATCTGAAGTCATGGATCGAACCCTAACACCAATCCCTTCCAAATGATCGCATTTACAACATTTGCAGCTTGTGCAGTGCCCGAAATGCTGCAAGCTGCGGTATCTACAGGCACGCACATATTTTATGCTTACTACTTGTTTTGATCATTAATTTCAGTTTTTGCTTGGTGCCCACCTGCGGAGAACTGTTTTGGCATTAAGTCGCAGCATCTGCATCTGGGTGCAAGCTGTAGCATTTGAAATGAAGGATCGAACCCTAAACCCAAGCCCTTCCGAATGCTGTACTTTACACGGCTTGCAGCCTCTACAGGGCCCGAAATGCTGTCGTTCATCGTATTTGCGGTTTTGAGGCCAACCAAAAAGTTACAGGTAAGCAGCGGTTTTGGTGTCCTTTCTGGGGAACCGGCACGAAAAAAATCACGAGTAAGCAAAAAAAATGCCCACTATTTTTTGTGCCCGGCTATTGCAAAAGTCTCAAATATCTGCGGCTTCTAGATCAAGTTGGACAGAAACAGCTGCACAGCGCTTGACATATTTGTTTTCTCAACACGCCTTCAGATTGCAAGTGGAAGCAGCTTCTGAAAGTCAGGGCCTGCACGCGTTTCACACCGCCGCACTTTTCACCTGCCTTGTTCCTTATGCAGACAGACCAGACATACCCCGGCAGGTTGCCCGAAGTTCAGAATGCAGTGACTTCTGAGGCACGTAGTAACACAGCTCACTGTAGGGAACGTAACAGGTGCTACAGGAAAGATGTTGCGCAGGCCGTGGGAAAGTGGGCGACGCCGGTTCGCAGTGCCTGGTGGCTTGAGTCACCTCTTAAGGTTGCAGGTGGGTCAGCAAGTCGAAGCCCAGAGGAGCCTGTAGAACAAGTTGCCAAACCTGAAAGGCCAGCCTGGTGTGTGGACTGTGCGGCTTCCTCGATCCCTGGCATCATTGATTAGCCATTGCTATATGTGCTGTGTCCTCTTTCGTTTGCATCCAAAACATGCCTTGGGGCCTCGTGCCTGCACCAGCCAGGCTTTCTTCTTGTGAAGGCATTGATGATTGTTGCACCTCACATGTTGTTCATAACGTATTTGCGAAAAGAGCAGGGAGAGTATGGTGCAGCTAAAGGCCAACATTTTAGGGGCAGACAGCAGCGGAGCACGTTTAAGCAATTGTATTGTTGGCTGTTTGTCTTTGCCACCATGCTTTTCCTGCAGGAGCTCCAATCTCAACAACCCCTGGGCACGCTTAGCCTCGAAACCTCTTATGGTGGCTGTGCTCAAAGCTAAAGATGATGTCTATGAGCATATGTTTTGGATTGGCAGGCTCTTGTATGCATACCTGATTCTTGGTCGCAAGAGCTTCCAAACACAGCACCTTTTCAAGCTCAAGTCGGGATTCTGTTCTTCGAAGAGTGCATGTCCCCAAAGCACATTCCAGTATATCCGCTGCAGCGACATCATTAGCCCATGCATGAAAAGAAAGATAGAGTGAATGCTTCTGATGTGATCAAAGATGATCCAATGGTGACATGCAATTTGAAGAGGCTCCAGATCTTTCAGGTGATAGAGCGAGGACCCAGTGATTCTGATGATGCATTCGTGCCAGGGGGCTCAGGCACACTCCCATTCCCTGGAGTTGTGTACCAAAACGTGCAGAGAGACACATTTGCAACAACTAATAGGTCATCTGGTCGATCATCAGTGCAGGTGACCCTCGCACTAGTCGCATGCATCCCCGTGTGGTAGCCTGTCCTTGGGGGCCAGGCCTGCCTGGGTACCAGGTTTGAAGCAGCTAACGCTCGCGGGTGATGTCGCTACATGTCGCGGCACGCACCTGCATCGAAATAGAACATCCATCCCGCCAAATCCTGATGGTGATGCTAACATTAGATGATGTGGAAAGGAAGGATGGACAATATCTGTGTTTAAGATGTGAGGACACTGCGCCTGGACAACCCCAGACTGAGCGGGAAGCCAGACACTACTGTTCGTCTGAACAACCTGAAAGTTTCTTCAGCAAAGACTTGCAAATGCAAATAGTCTTAGCATAGTCAGGCACAAGGAAGGTCCGAGAATGTAGGCAGACCACTCCAACATGACTTAGCCGTCCCTGTTTATACCACCAGCAACCTTGCATAGGACTACTCTCGCGAGATCAGCTTTCCCAATAAACAGGTGGAAAGTGGCATGCGCCCAATGCCAGGCAGACAGCAGTATGACACTCCTAGGTCCACAGCCTGCTTGCACGTACGGCAATCTTCACCTAGCCGTCGTGTTGACAGAGTTCAGGCCCCCAAACCCACGATTCCAGCCATGATGCAAATTTCATGTGCTAGCAGCGCAGCAACCACCGCGTGCGGATCTGCCTGTGTGGCATCAAACGACAAGTTTCACTGTCCGTGTAGCAGGTTGTGGCGCGCATGAATTTCAAATAAATGAAAAATCCTGCTGACTCGGCTGTGAGTACCTTGCACCACTGTCAACGAACAGCAGCACCAGACCAAGTGGTTTCAGGCAGACATGCGGACTTCAGACATTGCGAAAGGTCACAATCTGGCGCAACCAAGGATCTGCTGTGCCGTCAGCAGCGTTGCCTCTCTTAAGCCCGCCCCGTCCTTAGAAACTATGATCGTCGTCAGATGCCGAGAGACGTTTAGGAGGTAATACAATTTATGCAAAGAATTTGACGTGCGGACGAAGGTCAACAATATCTGATGCTTGGCAACAACTCCTGCAATATCACTCTTGTTGTGCAGAACCAGTCTTATTCCTCTCAGGATGTTGCATCTCTGCCAAAGCTCATGGTTTTCGACCTGGATGGAGCCTATTGTCTGAAGTGTTTGGATCTCGCTTCTTGTGAGCCAGCCGAATCATTTCGAGGTCTGCTGGTCTCCAGAAATGTGTCCTGACGACAGTTGGAAGCTTGTGAAAGCTGTTCGCGAAGCGTGCTTCCGTGACGTTCAGCAGTGGTCGTCGAAATGCTTCGCCAATGTTGCCCGTTCACTACGCACAGTTCTCTTCAGAGATTTGAAAGTCTGGCATTTCTCCTGCATCTCACAAGACTGGTAAGGTATCAAACGAAAGGGGGTCCACCCTACAGCCTCGTGGCACCGGGTGTCGTCAAGAATTCAAAAGACGAGGCCGTTGCTGACTCACCAGATTTCACAAGAGGGTCCACTGTCGCCTCCTTTCAGGAGATCAAGCTATTTGACGGTGTCTTCGCTGTGTGGAAGATGCCCCTCGACTTCCGCTAAAGTTTCCAGCCTGTTGACAAGCCTGAGCTGTACTGGAAGAAATCACTTCATGATGGGCTTGTGCTTGTTTCTGATTGGTATGGATGCAGCTTTTCGGCCTCAGCTGAGTAGCAAGATTTTCAGGAGAGAGGTGTCAGTCATGGTGACGTTCCGAAGCAAGTCTAAGCTTGGGGCATTGCTCGCTGTGGCTGCCCTGGTGGCTTTGTACTCGCAGATCCCCGCGTTCATTGCTCCATTGCGTGCTGCGGCATTGGCTGGAGTTTTGGCTGTGGGAACTCAGAGCAATGCTGCCGTGGCTCATGTGGCAGACAGCTATGTTGACACCTCGAATGTTGTCATTGCCGCTGATTTGCCAGTCTCCATGGGTGGCCAGGGCGGTGGTGGCCTGGACGGTACTTACACCATGAAAGCAGGGGCCAAGAAGAAGGATTTCATTGATGACGAGAAGTTCATCAAGGCCGATGAGAAGTTCGAGCAGAAATTTGACGAGTACATTGGTGTCTTTGGCATCCTGTTCGTGGGCGCCTTTATTGCCCCGATGGTGACATACTTCTGGTACGTGCGTGATACCGATCCTTGGGAGAACTAGGCACTGAAAGACCTCTCGTACAGCCAAGAGTGCAACAGAAGAAGTACCTGTGCAATGCTGACGTGTGCACTGCTCCGAAGCTGTGTTCCATCGCTGTAGGAGCAAGTTTTCGCTACCGCATGTGGACTGTACACAACGCATCCTGCAATGCTGGTGAAAATCGGATTTGCGTGTTGATTGCCAGTTGCATCAGGAATCGCTGCATGTGACGGAAGCGAGTGTTGCAGATGTCCTCGAACTGAGGTTTCACAGTCCACAGGCCCGTTCTCACGGCGTGCGTGTGGCGGTGGCCAGCTGCTCGAATGCATCACGATGGCATTGCTCACGTTGCTTGCTGCACTGTGTCACAGATTGCATCTCCGACAGATTTGGCAAGGCAGCTCTCGCAGGAACAAAGCAATACCTTTGCTGGAGACCATGGAGATTCTCCCTGGCGTCTCCATGAAGGATATCATTGATTGGAGGCTCTGTCCTAAACCTCGGGTTGGTACTGCGTTGTCAATTCTCTTTTTCTGTATGTCGTGAGGCTTTTCGAGATGTACTATCGGCGTGGTGAAGGTAAGCGGCCCCACCTCGAGGTTCCAGCTTGAGGCAACAATAGTCAAGCAGTTTGGCGTACTCCATGGTAGAATTCCAGGCGCTGCTTTCAAAGACTGGAGTTGCCCCCAGCGATGTGCTTTTTTTGGACGATGCTGCGGAGAACATTCGATCTGTTAGGCTCGCCGGGATGAATGGCTCCACATGCGCTTGCTAGCAATGCGCAGAGGGTACCGAGTTTCTGTTGTCAGGCCCCTGGGTGTCCATGCGGTACACTTGCCGCATGGACTTTCAGAAAAAGCTTGGACACACGCCCTAGAAAGCTTCATCAAGTCCAAGGAGTGAAGCCTCTGACCAAAGCAGTGCGGAGGATACAAGTCATGATTCTGCTGCGCTGCACGTGCTGCACATGGCTTTGCCCGCATATTCTTGAAGTGAAGGTATCGCTTGATTAGGGAGGTGGTGCGATTGAGCTTACTGGGTCACCCCAAGGCGCAAACAAAACTGACATCCGACCAGAACCTTGACATCTTGAAAGCATTGATGGAGGACGCAGCATTGGGTGGGAAAGATGACATAGTGACATATGCGGTTGATTGACTGCGCAGGTGCAAATTTATGTCCCATTCAACACGCAGTGAGTAGGCAGACCTGCGCAGAGGAGACGGACATCAGGATAGCGGAGGTCAAACGAGATGCTTACGAGTTCAGGTGCCTCCAACCGCAACATTTCTGGATTTCATCAAGGGCTGCTGGCCAGGCGAGACATTGTAGTCGGCGCGGAGAATCCTCGGACCGGCAAAACCATTGCAGAGAAGGTCTGCGATAGCTGCTGCGTTGCTTTCTGTAGAATTGCCCGGTCAGAGCAGATTTCGTTCCTTTTGCTTGCGCTGGTGGAGTGCCCGGACCCTCGTCAGGTTTTGAAATATATGGAGGACAAGTTGACTCAGAAGGCTGGATGCCCCGAAAAGTCTGCTGCTGGTCTCTTCGCTTGTTTGGCACTGCTTCAGGACATGCAAATTAACAAGCTCCTGATGAAGAACCAAGCGTACAAGGTGGCCATTAAGAAGGCACGCACAGTGCAGGCTGCACATTGCGTTGCAAATGCAAAACCTGGCAAGGCCGAGCAGCAGCTAAAGTCCAAAGCGGAGACTGGGGATGATCTGCAGTACATAGCCGGGAGCTGAACTGCTGGTGTTCTTACGCAGCATGACTTGCGAGTGATCGCTTTCATTGAGGACTTCCATCAGTTGCAAATTGAGAACTCCCAGTTTGTGAAACGGATTGAGGAAGCGAATCAGGACTGCAGCTCTGGGATCCTCTCCTGACCCGGTCTGTTGCAATGCCCAATATCTTCCTGCCAGCCAGTGCAAGCAATCTTTCCAGCGAGAGAATTGCATGCACTGCTGACTGTCGGAGAAACAAGTTGCTGCGGTGGGGATAAGACGAGATCGGTCCATCCCATTCCATAACCAAGCCCCCTAATAGTCTTCATACCAGACATGTTGTCCGAAGATGTATCCTTTGCCACAGTCGCTCATGTCTTCTTTTGTGTCGCTATGCCACACATCGTTGCTTCGCTTATGTGCGCGTTCGTTTTCTGAAGGCCAAGGCAGAGTCCCCTCGCCAATCTTAAACGCAGAACCACAAAGCCGCCAAACCCCCAAAACAGAAACGAAAGCCACCAAACTCGATTGACAATCCCAGACACCTCGATCCAACGTCTTTAACCCTGGACCGCTCTGCACCATCACCCTAGCCATCCTCAACAGCGTGAACCACTGCGGGCTAAAGGCCCTCGCAGCTTATGATCCTAACACTAAATGAGCTATAGACTAAACTCCTTGAAGGGGGTTACATATGGGATTATATAGGGGAGTATTACAGGAGTTATTAAGGGGGACTCTAGGAGTTTAGACTAGAGCTGCAATGTGCCCCTACAACTGCCTTTGATGCCTCCTAGCTTGATTCTATAAACGGCCCAGCGCCTTAACGTGCTCCAGGCCCAAGACATCAAGCTTTGACACGAAGCCATCCAAAGCCATCCGGACCAGATATAGTTATTGCGCAAATCACCGGAACGTTTGAATTCTTTGAACCCTAAATCCTGAATCCTAAAAGATCTCAGCCCCTGAGCCCTGCGATGATCAGAGCCTTGAGCGGATAAAGCTCAAAACTTCTTCAACCTTGACGCTGCACCCCCGCAAGAGAACATATGCCCTCCCCACCCCCAGACTCATGCCCAAGGCACAATGCCAAAATTTCCAAACCACGCCTTCAAAAATTTGAGCTGTTGCAGCCCAGAACCCATGAACCCTCCAAAAGATTTGAACTCCCCCCAAATCCCAAAATGCCAAAGCCCTTAACACCACGCGAAAATAGTCAGCCCCTGAGATCTAGAATTTTACCAAATGAGCCGTTGCTATTCTAAACAACTCCAGGCATCACTACAAAAGTTGCGCTTGAGGGGGAAACGCTGGCCCCCAAAACAAGAATGCGCAAAGCTTAAACGTCTGAGTTCCACAACCTCTACATCCCAGGCCAGTAGCCGACTCACGGAACCCTAACTAGAATAAACCACTCGACTTGCCCTCCAGACTAAAAAGCCCTCCAGGCTTTGCAGCCTCTGAACCCCGAAGGCCCAAAGACTCCAAACCATCCATCCCAAATCCTATAAACCTCAAATCCTTCAACGCCCGAACCCCAAGCACTCAAGCTTCTGAACCTTCGACGCACTTCGAGATCAGGCACTATAGGGACACCGTTGGGACATGCTTGATTTGGGCACTGAAGGAATGTGGTCCGGCACTCCAAGAAGATGTGTGATCTTAAAGTTGAAAATCCACAGCAAGGGCGGGAAGAGCGGAAGTGACGCAACTAAAAGGCGCGAGCGATGGAAGATTCGACTTAGGAGCAAAAGCACCCTCAAAAAGACAGGCAGCGCACACCTTGTGCCAACCAAATATGCCTGGCACCCACATACCAGCTGCAGGAGCTGATCGAGCTGAAGCGGCGTGCTGGGAGGACGGCATGGATCTCAGTTACCTTTCATTGTGACTTTTAGAGCCAAACGGCCTCAGTCATGAGCAGTAGGGGAGCCCCTCCCCTCAGCCGAATGAAAGGAACTCTGCATCCAGCTTTCGTTTGAGGATCTCTGCAGAGCGGTTCAGTTGTAACATCCTTTTGCTTTGCTTAGCATTTTCCAGAACGAACTCACTTGCCAACACTACAAAACACCTGACACCTGCATGCATTCAGCACGAGCTGGCAGCATCAATCTGGCTCCTCGTGAAGGGGATGCTGTTGTTTGAGCTGTGCCGAGAGACCTGCAGAAAAAGCATCTGCTGCAAGTCTGAGTTTGCAGTCTTGACAAGTGGGTTGAAGCAGCCCAGAAGACGCACTGCAGTCACTTTACGCGAACAGCTTTGGCTACACCAGCGTGCATTTTCATTGTGATGCTTTTTAGACTAAACTACGCTAGAGTGGGCTAGCAGGTGAAGATCCTCAACAACATGAAAAAGCGCCTGAGCAGCCTTACCGCTGAGGCGAATCGGTTTTTCACGAGTATGCTGAAGATATCATTTTCTTGAATTTGGGCGCAGGCAAAGTTCCTTGAAGATGAGATTAAAGAGCGGAAGGCCATGCTGGCAAAGACGGAGCATGACATTGTCAAAGTGGTCGAGGAAACGTCTGAATGGCATGGCAACCCCCAAATCTGCTGCCAACAGCTATTGCAGCGCAATAACGCGATGTGTTGCAAGGAGAAGGAGGCTGCGCGCAAGGAGCACAAGAAGCTACGGGCACAGTTCAGCTCCCAGCTATGGATGTTGAGCTGGCAAAGTGGCAGCAGTTCGGGCAGCCCATGTCACGAGTTGCTCTGGAGGTCGAGGCAATCCCCGGAGATGCCTCAAGTGGTGCTGAGCTGAGCAACGTCCCTTCCAGCGGGACCGAAGATCTGGCGTTAGCAGGTGCATGTTTTCGGACGCAGGTAGATTATGTTAGCCAAAAGGCGGAGGCTTACGAGCTGGAGGCTGGCCATTTTCATTGAACGTTATTTGGAAGGAATGTTTGTGCTATGCAGCGGGCATGGAGGCGCAGAAGCGAAATTGGGAAAGAAAAGTTGAGCTTGTGCAGCCCTCAGGGCACAAAATGCACCTCTGTCGGATTACCCGAGAAGGTGTCACCACAGGTCAAAAGAGTTGCCCAAGATTCAGGGCTTGCTTAGACCGGCTCAAATTCTTGCACTCAGTCAGGGAACTCCGCTACATCACCCGAGGCAGAAACTGCGGCCAAGCGAATTCGCCAAGCTGTGAAAAATGGCACGCAGCTGTGGGGTTCCTGGCTTGTTTCTGCATTGGCAAAGGTGCTTGCGTGCCGGAAGCGCTCACAGTGTCAATTGTTGCCATGGACGAACCCAAGGCCCGCTGGGCGAGCCTGATTGCGCTCTGTTGACGTCGTCTTGCCAGAGATGTCGCGCAGTCAGCGCGTTGTCATGGTCTTTGTTGCGTTTCTTTACTGGGTAGCACCCTGAATCGGGAATGTTTCACCTGCCTCTGGCAATGTCATAAACGGTCTGCGACGAAGCCTGCAGGGGCCCGCTTTAGTCGGCAGCGCAGACCAGTGTCACACTCACATGTCGTACTTGCAAGCCGAGTACAAATTGCTTCGTCAGCTGCCAGGAGTTTTGTGCAGTGAGAAGCACGTGTGAACCAGGAGTCCAGAATCTGGCAGAAGGTATCGCAACCATTGGACAAGGATGGATGGCTTTGGATTTCCATGATGCCGCGTGGCGCAGCGAAACTTGGGTGTGGTGTGATATCGCTTGCACGTTCTTGCTCATTCCAGGTAAGCATCAGCAAGCCTGTCCCGTCCCCTCACTTGCCATGAATGCATGGAACGCAAAATGAGAGCTGCCGGTTCTGTAGAATGCCTACACGCTCAAAGACGTGATGGCTAGCAAGCTCGTTAGTCCATCTTGAAGAAGGATCGATCCAGGCCTCTGTGAAGAAAGCTCAAATCAACAAGTGAATGAGTGTTGGCAAAAGCCTTCACAGACCCTAAATCCAGGATGGCATGATGGTGAAACCCGAAACCCACTCCAAAATATGTGCTGGCCTTGTAAACTGAAAGGGGCGACTGCTGGCGAAGAGAGAAGAAGCCTCAACCACGAGTAATGGATATCAAACCCTAAACGAAGCTAACCTCTAAAGGGTGATGGCTAGCAAGCTCTAAACTCCAAACGGCTTGATGGCTTGCAATGGTTGGCAACACCCAAACCCTAAGCAGACTGATAGCTTGCCCACCCTCAACTCCGAAGGGAGGGATGGCGAGCAACCCGGAAAAAGCCTGAAACAAGTAGTGATGGCAACAAAGCTAAAAACGGCAGCAATCCTCCCGTTTTGAGGTCCCAAAAGTCGGGAAAACCTATGTCCATAAACATGCTGCATGGCTGTCCATACGATGTGACGTTTCTGGTAGCATTTGTAGCATCCTCTTTCATTCGCACCCTGTTGATCAACGGCATGCGTTTTCTTGTCATCATCCGTCTGACCATGACCATCAATCCTGTTCATGGTGGTTTCTTCATGTGTCCGGCTGATCTTTTATGACGCAGCTTGTCACGCAGCATCCCCTCGTGCTGCAGCCTCTCGTTGGCATTGGCTTTCCTCACAAGGTGCAGAGCCACCACAACACCGGTTTTGGCTCAAGTGTTGCAAAGGCAGCTGGGGAGTAGATGCAAAGATAGAGCCAGCATGGCTACTCAAGAAAGCCTGGTGCCCCATGCACGCGCGAGACCATCGGCGGCTTTATCGATTTCAATTCCGGAGGAATCTGATTCTCAACTGCACATGCTAAACCTGCTGAGAGTTGAAAACAAGTACAGCTTCTTGGCCAGCACGAAACGCATGCGCCCCGCGAAAGATCGCGTGGCTGAGGACATGCGCTATCCACCGGAAGCTGTACAAGTTCGTCCGCGGCTTGATTGTCACATGCAGGTTGTCTGCATCGGCCTTGCTCCAACCTGCCATTTGCGAGAGTTTTATGTTTTAATCCCTTTGAGGCAGCTGTGTGGCCACTGCAACCTTGCTAATGGAAGCGGACCTTAGTCCAACGGGTGTTGAACTCGACATAAGGAGCAATTTCACAGGACAGAAATTGAACGGTTGAGGCAAACCTGTCATGGCCATCACTGTCCTGACCTGTAAGGCAAAGCAGAAAATGATCAATACGAGACAAGCAGGCAGCAGGTAAAGCAGAGGAAATGATTCAGCACTTCGTTTCGCGGCATCTCAGACCAAGAGGTCCCGCTACCAAAGGCTTGTGTTTCCTCGAAGTGTAAAGGGCGTCTGAGCGCTGATAACCACAAAGTGTTCGTGTTGAGCCTGATCCACAGTGCGAAAGCTTGGGAATTCGAAAGGCATAGCGTAGTAGATGCCAAGGCAACACCTTCATTCATGTGGCGAGCCCAGCTGCCCCGGACGACGGCATTCGAGCCGCGGTATCGTGTCCGGCCTCGCATGCTGGCATTATCCACAGAGCCTTCAAGGATTTTCAGGACATCCCAAGCATGCAAGCAGGGCGCGTTTGCTTGCTAAATTTGCCGCAGGAGGATTCCATCCCTGCCAGCAAGCCCGTCATCTGCTTGGAGGATGCCCTTTTTGATCATTGCGCAAGCCTGTGGGCTGGCACTATCAACAGCGATCCGTCTTGGCAGTGGCCGTCTTCCATCTCCGGTCAGCAAGTACCCGCAAATCCTTACGTGAAGCTATCACCTGCATCGCCAGAGCTGCCAAGCATCGGTTCCAGCGGCCACTATGCCGGGGAATGTAAGCCGTGCTCCTTCCTGTATGCCAAGGGATGCAAGAATGGTGTGACATGTATGTTTTGCCACCTATGCGACAGAAGCGAGAAGAAGAGGCGTCAGAAGGCAAAGCGAGCTGCTTTGAACAAAGCCGGAGCTTGCGGTGGAGCTTGATGATTTTTGCTGCTCAGTTGCTCTGGTGTCTGCACAACTTGCAGCAACCTGACTGCCATGAACAATCGGCTGACTGAGCCGGTGCCTTTTGTATTGCACGAGCCTTGCCTTCGGCTTTCCATGTTTCCAGCAACAGAGACGCTGCACAGTCAGTTATCTCAGGGAGGCTTGCGCCAACGTCGCGCAAACTGTACAGAGTTCCTCAGCTGGCCCCCGCAAGCCGTCGTGAGGTAGCTTCATGTATAATTTGTGAACCTTGCACAGCTGCTACTAATCAGAACCTCGCAGCACCTCTTGGCCTCAAGCGTCAGAGGCAATCGGCACTGGCAAAAAGCCTTGCTTCATGACGTTTGGTGCACGAAGCAATCTCTTATTGCCAGTGACCACTGGTATACAATGGATTGCAGCCAGTTTGCCCCAGAATCAGGACACATCTAGTGAACCTATTGATTGAATCTACTGTGCATTGGGTGTGGCTCCAGCGTGCACCTCAGGCGGAGGCATGCAGTGCAGTGCATATGCAGTGCATGCTGTCCTTTCTCTGCACCTGAAGTTTTTCCGAGGATTATGGCACCTACTGCTGTACAGTATGAGGGCAGTCAGGCAGCCGCAGCAAGAGAGGGGGTGCGTTCACAAAGCGTTGGCTTGTTGTGTGGAAGCTGAAATCAACAGTGCTGTGCACGTTTATGTTTTCAGGCTGGCCCGCGGACTTTGTACGACAAAATTTGGACGGACCATTTGGTCCATGAGGCCCCGTGAAGTTTGCAACCGTACGAGTGATTTTGCAAGTGCCGCGCAAACGAGGTCATACTCTGCAGCGTTGTGTGGAAGCATTCCAAAGCCGTTCCTGTGAAGGCCGACGGGACCTCCCTGATCTACATTGACCGTCATCTTGTTCACGAGGCACTTGATGAGCAATTGCCTCTGCTCTTAAGGGGCACATGGCCGTTCACTTGCTCATTTGTGGAGGTCACCAGCCCTCAAGCTTTTGAGGGCTTGAGGCTCAGCAGTCGAGAGGCTGCCGTTGCGTTACGCTTTGTATGGGAATTGTTGCTCCTTGCTCCTGCCTTCTTGGTTACGCTCAACGTGAACGTACGTGAACATGAGCAGGTCCGACGCACAGACTGTACCTTGGCCACCGTAGACCACAACATCCCGACTTCATCGCGCAAGAATTTCAAGGACTTTGCACAACAGAGAGCAGCGAGAGAGGGCAGCTCCCTGCTGTAAGGATACCAAAAGCTTCATAGCGGAAGCAGACTCGCGACAGCAGGCTGGTCCACTGGTGGACTGGTCGAACCGCCCCGCAGTTGCTTGTAATTTCTTGGTGCCAATGTCTTGCAGGTTGTGACACTGGAAGACAACGTGCAAGCGTTTGGCCACAGCCACGGTTCTGCAAAAGTGTGTGACTCCATGTTTGCTCTCAGACCCTGCAGGCCTTACATACTTCGGGATGGAGGACAGGCGACAAGGCATTGTGCACGTCATTGGTCCAGAACAGGCTCGCCGCGCTACATGGCTTATGGCGCTAAAGCCCACATTGTGTTGCTTGCGTTTCATGCCTTCAACATGGTCTATTAGTGAGTCGATTGGCTGTTATCATGTCTTTTGATGATGACAACAAGTGTTGGCTCAATCGTCTGTAGCTGGGGACGCGTGGTTTGCCAAGACGGGCTTGCCATTCAGCATCTCCCGTGAACATTTGTCAGCATCAGTGAAGTGTTTTTTGGTAGTGTTCTAGCGCGTGTCTTGTAATTTGCAGCGCGCAGGGCTTCACGCTCCCGGGCACCACAGTAGTTTGCTTTCGCCTCATTTGTTTTTTTGCGCGGGGTGGTTCATCTCGCAGGCTTGCTGCTTACGGCTTGCATGAGGTGGAGATAGCCACACCTCTACCCACGGAGCGTTTGGAGCGTTGGCTTTTGGTTCCGGAGCCCGGCTTTTGGAGCATCAATGCGGGAGTTGAGTAACACTGGCACTGCTCGTTTTCGAAGGCATCGGCACGTCAGAAGTTGAGCATGTTCTTGCAACGCAAACGCTGCCAGGATCCCAGAGCATGATCCAAATGATCCAGTTAAGTGCATCCAAATTGGCGAAGCCGAGGCTAATGAACAAAGGCAAAAATATGTTGCGTGCTTAATTTCTTGTTTGGCAGTGTCCGCGGGGGATCAACCTGTAGAAGAACTGTGTTGCCAGGGCGAGCTTTGTCTTTGTGAGCGCAGTCGCTTTGTTTACAAGAAGGATCTTGAACACAAGCTGATTGCAAAATCAGAAGTCGTTGGTTGGGCGGCCGTGCAGAGTTTGCTTGCAATGGGTGGCCTGTACGGAGTCATGACTACTGATCGGGACTACGCATTCTCACAGAACGTGATTCGCTTTAGGAATAGGATTTGCGTTTGCATTCTGGCCAGCGGTGTGTTGTACTCAGATCGTGAAGTCGGAACGAAAGACTTGTGAAAGACTGCAACCCAGGCGCGTCAAGGTCTCTGGTAAGCTGGCTGAAGGCGTCACTTCAAAGGACCCGTCACTGATTGTCAACGTGCTGCTAAGCTGGCAACTCCGTTTACACTTGGACTCTTTCAGCGTAAATGTGAAAGTCACAGGCCGTGGGAGCTTTTCGGCCACGTTGTGGTTGGAAAGAAATTTCATGAGAAAGGAGGGGTCGGCACTTTGAGAAGGGCAGCATAAGGAAAGCAATGGGCAATCAAACAAGCCAATGGTATAAGACTGTAAAGCTGAACAACCAGAAGAAAGATGAACAGAAGGTGACCACTGAACAATGACAACTGCAGATTGAAACTACCATAAGAATGATGGCAGACAGAGGGTGGACATGAGGTAAATGGTAGAAGCATGGAACACAATGTAGTTTGGTTTCTAAACTTCTAAACTAGTAAACTTGGTAAACAGGATTCAAGCGTGCTGAACGTCAATCGAAATATGATGCCGTGGCCAAAATCCCTTTGTGAGTATAGCACTTGAATTGTGCTGATGGCCCTTGTCATTAGGTAAACATTACAAAGAATGGTAGAGCAAAGTTGCACTGAATGTGTATCTGAGATGCGAGAAGTTCATTTTTATCCTTGGCATTTTTCTGCCCCCTGACTTTCTTTCTTGTTTCATCATGTTGTCAATCTAGTTCTTCGAGTGTTCCGCCTGTTCCACTTTCTCCTGCTCTGTAACTTCTTCCAGTTTGCTATGTTTGTTCCACCTTGGTAATGTTTCGAGTGCCTTCTCTCCACATCCGTTTTTATCTTCCCTATGCCCGTGCTTTGATCTGCTTACTCTTTAAGCTTACATTTGGCATTTGTTTTGCTGTGCCTTTTGATGTTACGTTGCTCTGCTCTTGTTTTGCCATCTGTGTGAAAAAAAAGCCAGGCCATCCCATTTCTCATTTAATTGCATGTCACAACCAAGACTATCTTGCTGGCATGTACTAGCATTCTCCAGCCGAAATTCTGAAAAGCAGGCTGCATTGAAGCACTTTCCCGAGAGGGGAAGGCTATCGGAAACGCCTGCGCATGTCAGGCCCTTCCTAGCAAATTCCACCGGCATCGCCAGCCAGAACCAACAGTCTTACATATTTCTGCATGCGGGATACACAGTAAAACTTGTCGGAAGGATGTGATTCTGCACATCATTGGCATCATTGGCACAGCCGGTGGAACTGGCAGCGTCATCGAATACTGTGTCTCGACTGAGTCGTACTGTGACGTGTAACAGTATGGCATAAGCATGGCAGATGCACTTTTCTGAGGCGGAGATGTTTTTGAGAACATGTCCATGGAGGCACCGGATCAGACTCGTCCATGCAGGGCACTGCAGAAGCCTGCCTCTTTGAGGTTCTGCTCATCTTGCCCTAGAAGCTTGTTGAGTAGGGGTGGATCGATGAACATCTTCCAATATGCGCCCTATAGCGTGCATATACTTTCGACCGAACATCGAGGTTAATGAGATTCGAGGTCAATAGGCCTGTGCACACCTGAGCCCTCACAAGAATTGTGAATGGAAGGGGTCATCGAGAGCACCTGCAGGCAGTCTGGGATTCGAAGCATCAACAGCGCAGCGAGAGGGGGGCCACCTATAACCAACTGGCAGGAAAGGGCCATAGATGTTCGGAATGGATGGAACTCCCCACAGCGGAAGGCAGCTACCAGCATCGTCAAAGAAACGACCCAGAGTTAGTGAGAGGAAATCTAGAGGCTTCGCACCAGATATAGCAGGTTGCCAAGATGCTTCAAGAGGGCACCTGCAGTTGCTAAAGGCGCTCAAACCTCAACCCGTCCCACAATTCGTTGGAGAATTTTTAATCAGCTGTCAAAGCTAGCTTAGCATTTCGGCACTTGCGAGGCAAGAATGTCCGTGTGCAACATGACCATTGAAGCAGGAGCTCGGCACCGGCCAAAGTTTTCAAGGTCGTTGAAGTATTTGCATGTCGAGCTTCCTAGCAGTTCCAAGGGCCGGTATGGTGGCTCCTGATGAGATCACTTTCAACTACCTGAAAGGAAGGTGAGTTCACTGCATGCATGTCTACTGGTTCGTTATCTTGCCCGATGCTAGGCCGCTCTGCCCAAAGGGAAAGGATTGGGACAAGGCCTGTGGGCCCATGTGAGGTGCCTTATCGTTGGCAGCAGTGGCGTCGGTGGTGTCTTCCATGAGTCTGCGGCTGCTGTTCCGTCATGGTTCTTGCCGTATCTTGCTGCCATTACAGCGGCTGTCTCCGTGGTCAAGCTGCCAGCTGGTGCCAGTGCTGCCACAATCCATCATGGCAAGTCATGGGGCCGTGCGACCGCAGTGAATTCTGCTGCGCAGGCAGTGGAATATTGGAAAAGCTTGCGAACCGACAGGGGGGCAAAGCAATCCCAAGCATGTTGCAGCGGTTGTTTTTTTTCGATGTCTTTAGGAGCTGTTCCATGCCAGGTTTGACAAGGAGATCAATATTGACGCAGCAGACATTGCTCCAACGGCCACTCGGCAGCAGCTTGCGGCTCACGCAGCTCCAGGCAGTGAGGCGATACATCAGCGTTCTGCCGGGAAGGTGACATGGGGAACGAGCCCAGAGGATGTTATCTCGATCACAGGCAAAGTTCCGGATCCTGCTGAGGCAGCATGTGCAAATAAGAGGGTGATGGCCTTTCGCACAGTCCAGCATGTGAGGCGAAGGATGAGACAAAGAGGACGTCCTAGCAAGACTGCTTACACGACACCCCGTTCATAGGGACTGCCAGCCCTAAGATTCTCTTGGGTCCGGTTGTGTGGCCGAAGGAGCGGGATGCAGCGAGCCTTGCAGTACATGGGCACTGCGCTTGGCGAAGGAGCCAAGCTGTCAGAAAAGTACAAGTTTAGACCTTTGCAGGTTTGGAGCCCGGAACCAACATGCAAGACATCTCAGTGCAGAAGGTTCAGCTGCAGCCACGGGCTGCATGACTTGCAGCACTGCAAAAGCCTGGCAGGTATTTATAGGCTCTTGCACAAACAGCCGCATAGAGGATATGCGCCGATCGCTGAGCATTTTTTGGCCGTGCTAGAGTACAGGAACCACCTTGCCTTGACTTCCGCTTTCTTGGCTGAAGGCAGTGTCGCTGCGGTAGTAAAGGGCAAGAAGGCCGGTCTCAGGGATTTGTGTGCCATGCCCATGGCTGCAATGCAGGCTTACTGGTCAGTTTCCGTGATCTTTGTTTGGTTCACCGCTGCTGTTATTCTACACGCGCATATCTGTCTCAACCAGGAGTCACAGGTGGCAAGAACAGGTAGCAAGAACAGCTGGTGGCCGCATAGCCGCGCAGAAGCCTTACCCAACATTTAGCGGCAGAACAATGACAAGCAAACATTCCAGTCTAGCTCAAGTCTCCACCCACACTTCCTGCATGCGAAGTCCTCATGGTTGCTGACTCAGCTTCCTGATCATCAAGCTTGCGGAGAGCTACTTCATGGTCTTATCCTCTTACAGATGCATCTGCAAGCTAGCTATGCTCATTGAGGCTGTGCGCCTGGACAGCTTTCGTCTGAAGGCGGCTCGAGTGCTCTCCTCCGCTTGTGGTGTGAAACTAAGTTTGCAGGACCCAGTGGATTGGACGCATGGCACCAAGTCAGAAGTGACGTGCTGAACCGTTTCAGTCGGCTTCTGAGTGCTCGCGAGGCCAAATGAAGTGGGTGAGTTCCTCGCATCAATCCTGCCCGAAACTTACAAACCTGGCGACTGAGAGGCCATGCTCATTTTGGGGTCAGCCGGTTTCAGAAGCTTTGAATCCGAGTCCTGGACATCCATGCCTCGACTTCTTCACCTATACGTCTGGCATTGCCACTGGCTCTGCGTAGCCTTTGTTTGACCATTATACGCTTGCAGATGTTCCTAGGTCTTGTGTTCCTTGGAGAAGGACGACCTGCGCAGGCAAACTAGGAATGATGAGGTGGGAATCAGAGGTTGTAAGGGAAAGCCTCGTGAAGCATCATACCTTCACGATCTCCACGCCGGCTCACACCAGGCCGCCAACGTGATCTGGGCCGAGCTGGCCAGCCGCCGGAAAGGGGCGCAGGTGCAGGTGCAGGCCAGGGCTGGAACCTGCATCAACCAGCATCTGTCTCAAATGTCCCAAGCCCAAGCGATACAGATCCTTGTCTTCGGCATTCAACTTTGTGCTATCATCTTGGCCCTATGCAGGCGACCGGCACCAAGGCCATTGGGTGGCAGGTGTACGTGAGGGTTTCACTTTGTTGGTGTTCGTCTGCACGCTGGTTGAGGTAACCTTGGAATTTCCCAGATCGTGCAATCAGATGCTGGACGCGTAAGTTTTGTCAAAGGCGGTGGTGCAGCGTGGCGGCCTGGATCCACGCCTGGTGCCTAGAAGCATGTGTCGACTACATGAATTTGTCAAGATTAGTTTGCAGAAAGTTGCAGCGCATGCTGCGGCCTAAGTCGATTTTCATTAGCGTATCAAATCAAGCTCAAATTCTTGCATTTTCCCTGAGCTTCCCATGTAGATCTACATAGTAGCCATCCATGACATTAAAGGGCGCGTCGCTGTCACTGCAACAGGGATTTCCTTGGTGGCGCCCTCACAGATGCGTGACGCAAATCCAAGAGGACAACCCATTAGTTGTGGTTGTCGCAGCCTTCATGGGAAGTCATCAGCCACAAGTTCAAGTGAAAACAGCCATAAAGCCTTCCCAAGTTGGTCCGAAGGCGATAGCAGATTGCACAAATAAAGTGAATATCTTGACAACTGAGCCGTACGATGCAGTCGCAATGCCATGGTTGTCGTCAAGGTAAAGACGTCCCAAACTTCTGCAAGTAATGTCCACACTTTCTCGCTGATGTAACGTTGAGGCCCTGCGGAGGAAACATTTTGCGGCACATTTGTGCTACTGCTGCGCTGCTGCGATTGCCGCCCATTTTTCTGTACTAGCATTAGTTTTTTCCCAAGCAGTTTACGTAGGGGTTATGCAAATCCATTAGGTTTGGCAGGTGCAGGTGTGGATTGATATGCATTTTCATACTTGAGTTCGTCTGAGCTTGGGGCCCAAGGGCCTGCTCGCTTTCGGGATCTTTCATGATCCCGCCCCATTTTTCTCCATGCCATGGGGCGATCTTGCAAAAGGCGAGCGGCGAGCTCAAGCAGCCAGGATGAAAGCTGCGGTCGAGCTAACGAATCGCCTCGCCTTCTGACATTCACTGTGAACCCTGACCATGGCGCCATTGAAGTGCAAGAGAGTCCCACGGCAGAAGTTGCGGAACCATCCAAGACGCTCCAGACTTGTATGTCCAATTTCCTGGCCGAGTTCGGCTGCGATCAGACCCGCCCACAAGTTTTGCTTCAGGCCTAGGTGCTCACGTTACGTGAGTTTGCGTATGGTTGTGACGAGCCCGACCTGCTTGGCTGGTCCAACAGCCGATTATGGCTGAGCTTGCGTGAGTTGCGGTCACCTCTGCCTCTCCTTTTCGGTCTGTTCAGTCCGAGAACTCTCGTGCAGTTTCTTTGGCAAGTAATTTGGTCGAGCTGCTTTTCAAGCATTTGTCTTTCAGTTCTCGTGCTGTGCAGATGCGGGATTGTGGTCCGCACATGGAGTCGCAAGTCCGAGACCTTTGCGCGCAAAATATGCCATGTACTCCCCAGACACACTGCGCAATGCATTGGCGGCATGGCGGCGATGGAGTTCGTGGTGCGAGCATCAGCGCCCAACGCTGGCACCACTTCCTTGGCAAGCAGTCCCAGCTGCCATGTTTCTTTCCTCTGTGCAACATGGTGAGGGCGTCAAGGTCCGTAATGCTGGGGACCCTGGTGCTGTCGCAGCAGTTCTGGCAGGCCTCAAGTTTTTCAAGGACCACCTTGGACTGAACATGCAACTGGACGATGAGTTAGCAAGTGCACCCGCCGATGCAGAGCCACCTAGGCCACTGAAACAGGCAGCACCATTCAGTATTCGTGACCTGGCGTGCTTCGAGCAGCTTACTGCATCGCCCAATCACATCGCGAGGCTGACCAGCTGTTGCAAAGTACGCTGCCATGCGGCCGTGCTCATCGGTACGAGCGCAAAGCCTTTTGCGTCGGCTAAGCTTGTCTTGAAAGGGGTGAACCCAGGGACCAAAAAGTCCACGTCATCCCCAGTGATGGATCGCCAGCTCTCATAGAAGGCGTCGCCCAACTCCGGATCCCAGATGCCTGGGCGAGGCATCACCCAATCTAACGGCGGGAGCGCACGACGCTTGCGCCGAACCTTGCCACGATAGAATCGCAACTTCCAACAATTTGCCAGCTTGGAGATGAAACTGCTTCACTGCGCATGTTTGAACGTTACACCTGAATACGTGAGCAAAGCGGCAGCTGAACCCAGATCCTCCTACTACTTACAGCAGTCGGAGGACCTTGACTACCGTTGCAGAATGCATGCAGATGCCACTGCATGACCGCCTTGCCCTCGGTTCGTGGGTGGATCCATTGGACTCCCTTCATCCAAGGGCGTCTTCCAGCATGCCAGTTCGGTATGTAGATGAATCTGTGAAGCTTCTCTCCCAGCAGCAGGTCAAGTTGTATGTATTAAAAGCAATTCAGCACGGTCTTTCGCTTGCTCCTGGTGCTGGTCACGGCTTGTCCCGGCCGCAGCTTTTGCGGGCTTCGGTGCCGGCTCAAATGGGTGATGTCGACCCAGCCGAGGCGGAGCAGGGCAACCCACCGGGCCAGCCATCCTATTACGTTCAGCAAGAGTTCAGACAGTTCGATTGCCAGCTCTTCGTCCAGCGGTTCTGTCGAGGACGATGCCGACGTTGCTACCTTTGAATGGGACGTGCCTCAACCCGGGGGGTAAGATTCATCGAGCGCATCCAACCAAGGTCAGCACGGAAGGTGTTGCGCGGCCCGCCTGTTGTGCTATCTCCGGTATTCCTCATTCGGGAACTGGTGTTTTCACAGTTATTGCTGAATTTCCGCAGCGCAAATGGTGTGACATTTGCATCCGTCTCACAAGCACTGCCTGAAGCTCGGAAGAATGTTTCTCTGGCAAGAGCAGAATTTGTTTCTCCGAACTTCTCAGCTGCTCGCATGCTCGCATCTGGGGCGGTTCTCACCCACTCGCACAGCACATGCGACCATGCTAACAGCTCTTATTGTGCCTAATTCTGGCATTGTTGTGTTTTTTTTGAAATTGTTGTTCTCGCTTCTCTGTTTGCCTCCTCGATTGGTAAGTTTAAATCGTTTCAACACATAATATATTTTTTCGGGAAAGTATTCAGAAACTGGGAGGGTAGATTGAAGCAGTAGTTTTGTTGGAGGTAGAGGTTTTTGAATGGGGAATTTGAAGAATCCAGTTCTAAGTTTACTACGGTGATAGACCCACAGACCCTCCGGTTAATTTGGGGGGCCCCAGATTAAAGTGAGGTAGCGATTTGTTAGTTGTTTGGGAGAAGGTGGCACTAATAAGAATCAAATATGATTTTCTGTACCTATCTCAACTAACTGTTAAATTAACAGCCCTGCCCTATGACTCACAAATTACTACTGCTTTGACGGCCAATCTCATGTGTGTACTCAAGTCCAAACTATGGCGACCGAAATCAAGGCAATATGATGATTGTATTTAATGTAGCGAAATAATGGCATTTGCTATGAGCTGTAGCAATTTCCAGTTGACTCCTGAATCATATTGTTCTTTGTGACGCTGTTGTGGGCTGTACGCTGTCTACAAAACAGAGCCAACAATGTCACATGATTCTGTCTGTGGCCAACGCGCGAGCCATACTTTGTTGCCCTTCCTGATTTGGCCAGGCCAACACGCTACACACCACACACACTGTTAACCTTACTTAGCTTCCAACTGAAGTTTAGTGTCAGGAATGAATCTGTAACCATGCCTCCAGTTTAAGCCCACATATGTTACTGCAGAGTCTGCAGCAGGTCCCTTCCCACAAAGTCACTTACCTGGAATGCTTCCAGGTAAGCTACAGTTTTGCAGTCAATCATCCATGTTGGCAGCCACGGCCAATCCATTGGTCTTCAAAGGCCACATGTGACCCATGATGGCACATCCACGGCACATCCATCCAAGTTTGCAGTGCAGTTTGGAAGCCTTCATTTTTGACTTTAAACTCCACATCCCCGCATCATGAGCATAAAAAGGCCCCTATTCAGAACCAGTTCGCAGAACCCCTTTCAGAACCAGTTCTCCTATGATAGGAAATTCAGTGGTCGCCTAGGATGCCCCCCCACTCAATTGGCACCCCAGTGTCTCATGCAGACTTTTCGTTGCCGCTTTCTCTTGCAGGTGTTTGTGTGTGTGTGTGTGTGCGTGTCAATTGTTACTTCCTCAGTTCGCCATGAAGCTTCCATGAAGAAATGCGATAAGCCTTGCCTGTAGTGGGGCCTCGTCCGCAGAATGCCACTACGACTACTCATGTCGCGAGTTTTCTTGATTTTGAGCTAGTCATCTTTTGCAGTGTGTGAGTTCAGTTGTTTTTTTCCTTTCTCGCATTGGTCCTCGTGATTGTCAGGCTTCTTGACGTCTTGCGTACTGTCAATGTCGGCCACAAGCGGCTGCTAGTCGGCCAAACAAGGATGCTTTTCTCCCGGCTGATTTCCAAGCAGACTTCCAAACTACGTTTCAAGATCGGGCGCCAAATACACGTCCAATTAATAATGGTCAGAAGAACTTAGTCAGCACCTAGGCAGCATGCTCACGCTCTACGTGAAGCTGGCCCGGCAAGCCGCCGCCTTGGAATGAACATGCGAGACTCTTTTGCCACATTGCTTGAGCCTGAGGGAGCCGCTCTGGAGCTAGAACTGGCTCCAACAGACACTGTGGCATACCTCAAGGTGGCCCCTGTCCCTCTTAGCTACATCGAAGCGGTTTGAAATGCCAGGCTCAGATTGCGGTGCATGAGGGCACTCCTCCTGAGAGTCAGAGGCTTGTAGCTTCTGGCGCCATCATGCAGGAAAACTGGCTTGGCTTGCTGTATAACTACCTGTATGACATCCCGGCGCATGCGTGCCAGGACGAAAGAGTTCTGACGTCCTATGGGTTCTGGTCTCGGAAAACATGCAGCGTGGCTGCTCTGTAGAGGTGACTTCATTTGAAGCATACTTTAATGTCTGGTGTGTTCTACGCTGAGTGGCCAGGTTGCGCCATGGCGACTCAGTGCTGTTAGTGCCATGTTTGAGAGACCAGGCAAGGGGCATCGCAGGAGCTTTGTTTCTTTGCAAGTGTGGATGTGTGTTATGAGCTCGGGATTCATTTTGTCACAAGGTTCGGCAGAGACCCGCATGCTTCGCCCCTCGTGGCCTCCTGGCGCTTCCTGGCAGCAAGGCGGCCAGACAAGCCCCTGAGCATCTGGTATGCGAGCCGCAATAGTTCAGCTGGGCAAACGTACAGGCGTGGTCTCCGTCCGCTAGAACTCCCTTCTTGCCCGTCCTTTTCACAGATGCCAGGGACTCAATGAGTTTGGGGTCTGAAGCGTTCGAAGCTGCAGTGGTTGACGAGGTCTCGCGGAATTTCCCCATTAGCCTGGAATTTGCGAATGTTGCAGATTGCGAGGCCAGCTGGCACGAGTAGAAACCCGTGCGAATTGAAATGAAGAAGATTATGAGAAGGAAGGGCCCAAGCTGAAGCTGCGAACTGTTTGCTGAATTTTGTAAGCAAGCCACGAAGCTGCAAAACTCCCACCACGATTCCAGCAGCATCACAGTGCGCAAAAAGGGAAAGTCAAGGACTCAGCAAGAAGCTTTTGTGGCTTCCGACAGCTTTGTCTGAAGGCTTTTGTTTGTTGCCAAGGGTCCAGCTCTGATGATCCCTCTGTGCCACACATGCATGAAATCCATATCCCTAGCCCCGCCCCAGCTTCCACCGGTCCACAAGAAATGACGCAATGCAGGCTCCCATGGCAGACTCGGATCTTACATGTACGAATTTAGCTTTGCAGGGCATCTGCAAGATTCTGTGAGCTGCTGGCCATCACGTGCAGGCTTTTGCAGAAGCGGCCAGGTATGTCTGGCGCCTGGCGGATACTTGCTGTTCTGTTGCTGTTTCGATCCAAAAAAAGGCCGTGATGCAGGCTATGTTATGTGCGTCAGAGCTGGCGTTGCACAGCAAACCCTGCAGGCCGCTGAGTGTGATTGTGATTTCTCAGGCACCGCCGTGGTTGGAAGTTCTGCCTTGAGCCGAGGGACGGGCAAGAGGGCGCGAATCAGTCCAAACTATGCGCCTGAATCTGCTCATTCAGAGGCCAGGCGGCCCTGGCAGCCCACCTGCGGAGGCAAGCTTCGAGCAGTTGAGAATGTGGCTGTCAATACAATGTTTGTCCTGCACCCAGGCCAAGTGCAGGCTAGATCCTGATCACGGTGCTGTGGTTCTGGAGGCCTGCAGCTGGCGGCAAGCATCGCAACTCCAGCATATTTCCCCCCATGAGGCAACGAATGGTCGCGTGTTCTTACCAGACACAAGCTATAAGGCAGCTCGGCCAACAGTTTCAAGTGTGGCAACCTGGAGGGCGGTATCTGAAGATCTTGAGGCTGTTGCTCACTTTGGTGGCCGGGGAGGACAGGTTGAGGTGGCAGAAAACGCGGCCTCTGCAGAGAAGCATTGTACAGTGCTGAGTCCATGCCAGGTGTGCGTTGTGACTGGTGCCGCGGTGTCTGCGTGCTGAAAATGAGAACGGCTCCCACAATCAATGCGAGAAACTAAATCCTGCGGCACGAGCGCTCCACAGAGATGCATCAAGATTACAAGAGCATACAAGAGCATCGGGCTTCATAACCCCCAAACCGAGCAATGCAACGACTAACTTTCTTCGGGTTGTCTCGGCTTCCGGGATGCTCAGAGAATCTGAGCTCCTGCTTGCAAGTCTCACGAGAGATGCAACGGGAGGGCGACCTTTCTACGTGAATCCCTGCCAGCAGTGGACAAGTTTCACTATGTGGCCAGCCAAGAAGGTGCCGTGTGCAACACAGTTAGGCATCTTCGTCACCGCTGGCCCAGCTTGAGCTGACATACTGGCCATCTTTTGGACATGCAGCAGGCATGGAAGTTTGATTGCTCACAAAGCAGCTCGAGCCAGGAGGAGCAAAGACTGCTCCAATGCCATTTAGCAAGCCAGCAAAGCTTGAATAGTGCATTGCCTCCAGCACTGCAGACAAGTGTGCTCATGCTCCGCGGTCATGATGTGCGAAGACGGCGGCTACTGGAGGTGGCCGCAGGTGTCGATGCCATGATCGTGCCTGGCTCTGGACTGGCCACTTGCTGAAGAAACGAGTCTTCATCAGAGCGAACTCATGGTGTTTTGAGCCTGAGGTTAAGAAGCAGGCCGAGGCTGAGGGCCTCGACAAGATCTTTGTCGAGGCTCGCTGGAGTCGTCGAGAGTCAATCGCTCGAAGTTTCTTTTTTAGATGTTTCAATCGGTTCGAGATGCGAGGCTGGCTTTGACTGGCGGGAACCAGGCTGTTCGATGTGCCTCGGCATGAACCCGGATCGCCTCAAACCGCAGGAGACCTCGGCGTCCAAAGAGATACTTTCAAGATGTTTTTGCCGTGCAAGTTCACCGTCTCCAGGAGCGATGCGCCGCCACCTCCAATAGAAACTTCGAGGGCCGACAGGCAACAAGTCAGAACACTTGTCTCTTTGCTGCTGTGCGGAGTCATACTTCACGGTGGTCAGGGCCCGCAGGGTCGCACTCACCTCATGAGTCCCGCTCTTGCGAGGAATGGCTGGAGCTGTGTCAGAGCATTGGATTCTGTTCGGGTCTAAGGTCCAGCAATGGCTGCTGCAGCAGCGGTGACTGGAAAGCTCAAGGAGAAGTGAAAAGAACCGGCTTCAATGGCATTTGCTTCTTTAATGCATCGCAAACAAGCCTTCACGTGTTGACTGCAAGTTTTGGAAAGACGCAGGATGTCCGGGAGCTCCTGCCAGAAATGCAGGTCAGCAGCCAAGTGTGGCATTGGACCTCTTCCTGAATGCCGCTACAAGTACTGCATTTCTGGAAGTTCCAGCCCAACTGACTTGGCTACCGCTCAATATGAAAGGTGCGGAACAAGCGCGAGCGCACATCCCGATCCAGACCCCGATCCAGAGCTCCGGATCAAGTCCCCGAATTCCGTTCCAGACCCCTCCGTTCCAGACCATCGAATGCAATACCTGAAAAGTGATGTTGAGCTGGGTGTCCGTTCCATA